ATGTTAGTAAAATATGTAATGATTAAGTACGTTAACTTTAAGTAAAAATTATTTAACAACTGAACTTGTTCTACAAGTAGTTTAGTACTTATAGTTTAGGGATAAGCATTCATTGATCTTTATCTTTGGGCGTTATTGTGTATGTGAGGAAGTAGTTTCTCATTAAACAAAGCAATAAGGAAACGTGAAACAGAATATGAGACCATCAAGAGAGATCAAAGTGTTTGTATCTTCATACTAAGGTATATTGTATCCTGAAAGTAGTCACCTGTATATTAACGTACATGAACGGATACTCTTAACTTATCATCCAAGCAAACCTTATTCTCGCTGTGATAACTACTATCTAAGTTATCAAAAAATAAAGATAAACACTCGACTTGGACCCTCTTTGCTATAAATTTCTCTCTCTCGCCCCCCCCCCCCCCCCATTTGGAGAAAGTATTTTTGAACCATAGCGAGAAAGTACCACAGTGACAGCATTATTACCTGTTGCCTGGGAATGACCTTTTATGTTAAACATCAATGATAAGTAATTTGTTACAAAGTTATTTAAGAGCAGGTTAAGTCCCTAAAAAGTTGTAAGCATTTTAGTAAATGAACAATGATTTCAATTAAATGTTGAAAGCTTCTGTTTCCAGCTCACCTAAAATATAAAATATAAGTTCTCATGTCACAGAGTCATTGAAAATATTTAGACCTTATAGTGGTGACTTACTAAAGGTCGTCTGCAACTAGCCTTAGGTATATTGGCTTATATTTACTTACTCCTATCGCCTCTTACATTTGAGGTGGTATTTAGTCACACCAAGAAATATTTGCTATTTCTATCTTATCTTATACATCTTCCTTCACTGCTCCATATCCTCCTTTGCTTGATTCCAAAACCTCTGGCTAGGCCTTATGGTGGTCTCCTTTTATCAGAGTTGCCATACAATACTTTTTAGTCGAAAATCACCATCCCTTTTCTGTACACGCCCTGCCCAACTAATTCTTAGTTATAATTTTGTTAATTAAATCCGTACTGATGTAAATTTCTCTTATCTATTGTGTCTTCTTCTCCAATCCCATTTTTCACATAGGTCCATATATTTTGCGCAGCAATTTATGTTGTAAGACTATTGGTTGATTTTCGTCTTTAAAACCTTATCTTTAATGTTTACACGTGGAAAAAGTTTTTGCTAATATTGTATCTCTAGTTCATCTTTTTTTTATATTACTACCCCAAGATATTTGCATATAGTAAAATTTTTTAAGCTAGTATAATTTGTAATCAACCTGTGATCTTTTGTGTGATGTGTAAAAAAAAGTTTATCCTGACTCAATTGGTACTTTTTATGTAAAAAAATTACTTCCGGTAATTATTTGTAATGAGAACCAAGTCATTTTGTAAATCCACTTAAAAACTCTCTCCCACTGAAAGCGTCTTATCTTGTTGTTCAGTGTCGAGTCTAGTTCTAAAAGATCTTACTTTTCTTTCAGGGGTGTTTTGATTCAGCGATGTGAATTGGTTCGGCGATGATTTGCGTTGGATTGACTTTTGTCCAAGAACATAGATAAAATATACTTGAGTCGATTTCAAAATGTGGCAAACAGTTTTATACTTATTTTACCCATTCAAATATAAATAACAGTAAATATTTTGTATAAAGTAAATTATATAAACTCGAGGATGTGGGGTTTTCTTGAAAGAGCTCACTGGGGCGGAGCCCGAGAGTCCGATCAGAATAAAAACAACTTAGTTTTCCTATTTAATGCCTAAAAAATGAGTGGGCCAAATTTCAGCCTCCTATGTAAATGGGAAGTAGGAGAATTAGTGATGAGTGAGTGAGTGAGTCAGTCAGTCAGTGAGGGCTTTGCCTTTTATATATATAGATAGCATAGGTATGACGTCATAAAAAGAGAATACGTATTGTACTACTGGGAATAAGTTCTCGCACTGTTGAGTCATCAGTTCGAAAACATTATTACTGTCTACGAAAATATTAGCAGCAACACAAAGAAGCTATCTCAGTGATCGTTAAGGATTAAATTAGGTAAATGCTCTCGGAACTAGTCAATTGGAGGTGCAGTTAGGGAAGTGAAAGAACTCGTTTGGACAAATTAAGTAGGTCAACAACTATTTTGCGAGAACACATTTTTTACAATCATTCAAGTTAACTAAATAGCTGAATATGTTTCTTTGAAAGCTCTTTTCTAGTCAGATTTATTTTGTCTCATCGTGATAGTGAGTTTTCCTTAAATTAGCATTATTTTCCTTACTACTCGTGGATTATTTGTTCAGTGTTATAATGTTAAGTTATGATTAAGAATAAATATTTAAACCTATAACACAAAGCTTAAGTATCCACTGAGAGCTGTGATAAAACGATTCTACATACATAGTACTTGCATGTAGAATAACTTTAACATACATGCAATACAAAATACTAATTACTTGCCCTCCACCAAGCTTGTGTCTGATTTTACTAGAACATGATTTCAAAGATACTAAGAAAACTCGAAACCCATATTGGACTCAATGTCTGCATCGCGTTGTCTTATCTATTTTAAGTTATCATAGCGTATACAACTACTACAATATTTACAAGTGACAAGTTTAACCTTAAGCTTTCTATATTTATATATTTTGCTTCTGATAAGCTTATTATGTTCACTTGATCCTTCTTAAATGTATGTTCTTGACAATATTTTTATCCATAATGAGCACACGAAAACCTATATGTCCTGGGAAGACTCCTAAAGCTATTCAAATATATTTCGTACGTTTGCATCTATAATCTAAAAAAAATTACTTATTGCATTTACTTATGAAATTGTGCGGTTTAGTCAATTTTAAAGAATTGTTTAAACATTTTTTTGTATTGAGGCAGACTATTAAAATGGTTTGTAATTATTTATTGTTACTGTGAATCCTATTTGTGTATCCTATACATGTCTTGATGAAAATTATAACCTGTTTAATATTAAAGAATTCGTTTTCACCGTTCTAAAAAGAAGCTTCTAAAGATTGATGAAATAAGATTCCATTACTGGAGGTTGGAGTGATGAATTGTAAAACTCGTTCATTGTTGTGTTAATGTGATCCTGGAGCGCTAAGGGTTGTAAGTGGTTTAAGGTTACACAGGGATGTTAGGGCGAGAAGGGGATATTGGATATCTGATCAGAATATTCTCAAAATATTTATCACTCTAGAATTGTTCATGAAATAAAATAAAATTGTCAGTCCCTCCAGTAAATTTATTGCGTATCGTCACTACTGAGCTCTATAAAATACTTTGGTTTATATGTATGATTATAAGTTTTATCTATTATTATACAAAAACAAAGTATTAATACAGTGGACATGTCTTCATGCTAAAACGTGAAGTATTGGGTGTACAGTAGTACTATAAAGACTGTTTGAAAAAGATAAATCTGTGAAAAGACAAATTTGCGATTCAAATGTCAGCGTCATCGCTTCACAAATTAAAACCGAGATAATTCTGTTCGGTCAAGTCAAGTTGGTATGAATTCAGTTCCAACTTAAAATTTCGAGCTCATGTAAATTCGATTTGTTTCTTTAATAATGTCTTCAATTCGATACTTCATCGTGATTGCTTTGCGTAAAATATTTATCAAAACGTATTTTAAATATAAGTAAAAGTATGATTAATGCTATTTATTCTCCAAATCAGCCAATAAATGGTCAACATCTGGTAACAGCATTTTAAAAATGTAAATAAACTAAGATGTCCTGTATCTGTTTTCAAATATATTCCAATGTAACCATTTTGATTTGCCACTAAAAATGACGTGATAGGCTGGGTTAATGTTTTTATTTAATCCCTTTTTGTGCAAACAACAGTTGTTATTACCTTTACCTACGACTGTTTTTTAAAGTAGCCGTTTCAGTACAGTTCTTAGAATTGAAAAGTATCTCATAACAGCATTGTTTACTTTCATAACAGCATAGTTTTACTCATAACAACACGGGTAACGGACCAATGAGGTTCAAGGATTGAGAGAGGAGAAGCTAAATTGTAATGATTCGAAATTCAACTAATCAGCTGTTCAGGCCAATTTAATTGTTGATTGATGCAATTAGTATTTGATACAAGTTTCGTTGCATCACTGTCAGTGGCAATTAGAGGTTATAAACTAAAACATAACCTCTCTTAGAAGCTATGAGGAGTGATTTTTAGTAATACACCGTCGTAAGTAAAGTACGCAACTCGCGTAAATAGTGTTAACGACACTCGTAGAAGTTTTTAAGGCACTCGCCAAGGCTCGTACCTTAAATTTTCTACTCGTGTCAAACTACTATTTCGTGTTTATGAGTCTTATTCAGACATTATTAATTATAAATGTTACCATGTATTATTAATTTTACTTTAAATCGTGTACGGGGGGAAGCTACTGAAGCCCTAAACTTCTCACCTACAACCTATACTACTCAAACTTCTGTACTTGAAGCACGTCTGGCTTAGGCCATTCAGCAAATACTTAGTTAAGCTTAGAAAACAATAATGTAAAGCCTTTACATTCAAATGATAAATTTTCCAATTAGGTATGTTCTGACTAGTTTCATTGTCAAAATATAAAAGGATACAATATAGTAAGTGAATTAAATTGTATTGTATGTAAGCTATTAGATAACCAATCGTGTTTTAATATTATGCACAACAGGTAACCAAGCATCACTGGATTATTTCCGTTTTAGGTTAAGGCTAGGTATCAATAACAAATTAATTTTTGGGGTTAGTTAAGTTATTGACGAAAACAGGACTCAAGAAAAATATTATATTATTTTTAAAATATAGTGCCTTTTATTATTCATTGAAAACTGAAGACTGTTCCATTAAAGATGTGAGCTAAACAAAAAACGTTTACACACTAGGTTGGTAAATTTTACAGGATTAATTATTTTATTGAATATTATAAATTGTGTGTAGGCCTATTATTTATATAGTCATAGTTACAATATAAACGGCAACGTAAATAAAAAAAAAAGATCAGAGATAATATGTGTTTATTTACAATTGTACAAGTAAAAGTAGAATAGATCCTTCTGGGCGTTAAAAAATATTGGAATAAAAAATAAAATCAATCACAAGGAACATCGAAAGAATGGAAGTAGCACCCCTGGCGGCAGAATCGCTCAACACGCTACTTGCCAACATCCGGCCACCGCCTGTCTTGCTTCCGGTGATTATTGTGTTAACTTCCGGTGACTCACAACCACCCTGCAACATGACGCAGTACAGAACATGGCTGTTTGTTCATGCAACATGACAACATTACTGTACCTTGTTTGACTACCTAGAAATATTACAAATTATTATTCAAAAATATATAAGTGGTTCTTAAAAACTAGATTACCATATGGCAATGTTTTACCAAATAAATTGTCAACTTGAGATCAATATGGGAAACATAACGAGCATTCAGGATGAAATAATATGTCTTAGTAAAAATACTAAACATGTTTGAAACTTCCCTCACTTAAAAAAAAAATTCAGATGCATGACACGACGAAATATTAAAGAGGTATATTTAACAGTCAGTATTCACAAGATACCCTGAAGGAAAATATTGTTTTTCAACATTATCAACTCTGGATAATTACGTGTTCAAAAGCATTCAAAGTCCTTTATGAGTCCCAATTAGTGAGGACGACAATTCTCTAAGCAAATATAATTAAGAACTCGAGCAAATTCAACTATATGATTGTACAAATATGTATAAAAAGACTTTAACCAAGGACACGACTAGGCAATCCAATACCGTAATAAGGGCTGTAAGCAGTCTCGGAACAAATAACAGAGTTTGAATTATTGAGCCTTCGATGGTTTACGCTGATAAAAATTTCTGGTTTTATTAAATGTGGCTCATTTTTTCAACCAAAGCTGAAAGAACCGTTTCCTGGAATCTATAGCATTGTCACATAACTAGACAAACCGAATTTTACAGAAACACTTTGTTTGAGACCCATTTAGTTATGTCCTAAATAATAACTCTGGTGGACGAGCTAAACTCGTTTTAGAGCACTGAGATTCTGCCTCCAATGTCATGGGTTCAGATCCCACCAATTATCAAACGAGTTTAGTGATAATAATGGCACAACGGCGCAACCCTCAAGACCTAGCAATGTGCAAGACTGGGGACTGGAGCCTATCTTTATTTCTTCTTGCTGTCTACCCCGGTGGAACTTTTATTGGAGGAATTAGAAAAGGAAATACTTACGCTTTTAGGTAAAGTAATCCAAACTCTCCTATAGTACTAGAATGTGAAGGTTGGTTATGAAACAGAAAACGTTTACTATACAACTTCAAATGGGGAAAGATGATCTTTGTGTCCGTGACGAGACGTACTAAGGGGGTTAAAAACGGCATTTTGTGGTTGGAATACAAGCTTCTGATAACATTTCTCAGAAAAAAAAAATAAAAAGTCACAATAAAAAACTGAAATTTTCAAATGTTAATACTATAACACCTTAAGTACGTTACCGTTTGCCCGTGTTTTGTCTCGTTCCGTCTCTGACATCGCTTGCTGTTCCCCTGCTCTCCAAGGCAGGCGGAATAGGCGACCGCATGGGGAATGAAGCTCTGGTCGACCGTCCCTGTGAACAGCATGGTAGCCTGGGGACCTTGGGCGTACACCGGGACGTCTTCGCCCCCGTGGGTGGCCCACTGGCGCGGCGCGGCGGACCCGTGGACGGCATTCACCCCGGAGGAGTTGTCGGTGCGGGGACTGGCGTGTCCGGGCCCGTTGCCGTACAGGAGGGTAGAGTAGGGTCGTCCGTCCACGTCGGACACTGAAGTATCGGCGCCTGGATAATAAACATTTGATTATGTTTAGTCTCAGAGAAGTAAGGTACGGAGGAAACACTCAATGGTACAAGTGATGTCTAGCAATGTCCTCATGTAGCCCTCATGTACTACAAGGCTCACGGTGAAGGAAGACCCTGTGCGATCAGGATTCCCCCACAGTGCTCGCCATTCGGACTCTTCACAAGTCCGACAGAGCTGAAAGTGCAAAGTATTCCCGTAAGTGTGTTTCCTCCGTACCTCGCTTCTCTGTGGTTTAATCTGGAAACAATTTTGGCAAAATGCCATCTTATCTAGATCTGGAGCGCACCAGCCATAAATAATAACTCTAAAAATATTTTATTATAATACTTATATTACAGAATAACGTGTTTAAAGTGTCAAAAAATTATCCATTACTGTATTGGTTTATGTATTGGTATTATAAAATATCAGTTTTAACCCCGGTATTTTTTGGGCCATCGATTTTAAATAAAGAGATTTAGTGTCAAAATCCAGTAACCATCAACCTATAAGCTGATAAATTTAAAATTAAGTATAATTTACAAGTTTAAAGATGAAATTATATAGCTTATCTAAAACCATTCTAAATTAATGTAAAACCCCTTAAAATGAGGGATCATTAACAAGACATTCGAACCTGAAGATGTGGTGCTCCATTTTTGTCAGCCCGAAACCGCTGTAGTTAATTATACTACAACTTGATCGTTTTGACAAAAAAATATACAGCTTAAACCTTTATTAAATACTTTATGAAGTTAACGCAATAAGGAAACCTATTTTAAATGTCTCTGATATTGAGCTAGAGACAGAAATTCACGGCAAGCTAACAGCGTATCTCATCAAAACTGTTTACTCTCAAGCGGTAAAATCTGTTTAAATAAATATTCCTCAGGTAGCTCCAAACTGTATTGTTTACATTATTCTACTCGAACTCAAACTCCAGCATAATGTTAATGTTTCATTGAGTTTGTGTTCGTAATATTTAACATGAATTCTTTAGGCTTATTCGTTATTCAGCTAATATGCAATTTTTTGTTGATAATATTTTATTAATGCATACTGTATTTAGCTTTTTGTATAAGTTAAAATAGAGCAATGTTTAAAGTTAACAACTACACAGTTTTGTGATAATTTGTCAATAATAAAAAAGTTATATATTATTTTTGTATATGATTACGGTTTAATTTCTTCAAACTGTAATTGTAGCCAACAATGTAGGCTAATAATTTTACAAATTTTGTTCCTTTCAATAACAACATTTTAATAGTAACGAATTATAAGTAAAGATTCATGAACAACAATGGACTATTTTCATGTGTAAATGCTTTAGTTACATCAAGTCGGATATAAAATCTCTGTGGCAAATAGTATTCAAGTAGAATATTTGCATTTTTTTAACTACTATTTGATCCGCTAGAACTTTTCAACGAGTAACGTCATTAATATTTGTAAAATAACTTCTAGTTCAGGAAGTAAAATAAATTATAATTTAATATGTCAAACTGTTTATAATCTGATTATAAATTGATCAAGACTTAATTAAAGGTTAAGTTGGGGGAGCGAGCTGGCGTAGTGGTTAGAGCGCGGGACTTCAGTCCCTGAGGTCCCGGGTTCGATCCCCACCAAGTCACCAATGGATTTTATCTAAGTGATAATGCCGCAACCCCTAGATCTAGCCTGAAGTAATGTGAAAAACAATCCCAGGCTCGTGCCTAGCGTCCTAGGACAAAAAAAAAATAAAAATAAATTAAAGTTTAGTTAGTTTGAAACACGAATAACATTACGTCCACTTACCCAATATTGGGTTGCCGATGGGTGTGTTTAGACCGCCGAAGGACAAGACGTGGGAATGGTCTGAAGTGACGACTATGAGGGTCTCTGAGGGGTCGACGACAGACAAAACCTCCAACAACGACTCTTCCAGCATCAGAGTCTCGTCCAGGGCCCGGTAAGGGTTGTTGTAATGATGAGCGTGATCTATTCGTCCACCTGCAAAGGTAACCAGCACGACGTCTAGATCTTTTGACCTAGGACGTTTGGATCTAGTCCGGGTGGACTAAACTAAACTCAAACTAAACTCAATTACCTAAATTATTATTGGCCGCCTGAATAAGGTTAATATTGGCCCCCTGACAATATATTGTACGATGACGTTTTTAAGATGAAGTTTGCTTTATTAAATCTCGTAATATTACGAAACAATTCTATTCTTATAAAAGACTTAACACACTTACTCTCAACAAACAGGAAGAATCCTCTAGGATTTCTCGTCAGTATTTTGAGAGCTGTTCTGGTCATTTTGGGTAATGATGGATCACCCTCCGGTCCGACATTTCTGTTGGCCTCAAACTCCATGTGTGAATAGGAAAACAACCCTGAAAAGTAACATGGTGTTACGATATAATATTCAATAACAGGAATAATATAACATTGGAACTGCATTTATGAAACGTTTAATTATTTGTAAACAGTTTCAATTATAGTAGCTGGAATATCTGAAATTCTATAAAGTCCTCGGATGCTTCGAGCCAGATATGTATATCCATAGAGGACAAGTAGATCAGAATATGTGTCATTACTTTCTAGTACTTTTCAAAACATATCTTTAACAGTTGCTTAGCATATTTTAAACTAGCGTCCTCTACTTACCTAGAAGCCTATCAACTTTATCCAGCTGAAGCTTATCCAGAGTCCTCGTATTCCACACATATTCTGCCCGTAGTCCTCTTCTTCTCTTGTCCCTCAGCCAATCGTCTATCAGGTTTCTACCGTCTAGACGTCTTCCTTCCTGGCCGTCTGGTTCTGGGTCACGTGACACCTTGGGGAGCCAATGGCGTCGTCCTCCTCCCATCACCACCTGGACAATTTTCACAAGAGATTATATTTCAATGGCATATTTCCAGCTGTTTTAGTTTTAATGTTTTTAATAAATAATAAAGATCCAGAGATTAAAATATATTGTTCACCATTTCCTTATAGGACATCATCACAAAATATCATTTCATCATACAATTCATTAAAAGCAGTACTTAATTAGTAGTGGCTAAAAGTTTAGATATTTTTGTGAATGGCACTTTTTCAGTCATATTGTAATGAATATAATATGGCTGAAAAAGTGCCATTCATATATCGAAGTATAAATATTGAAATCAGATGAGCAAAGACTTTAAAAATACGTGTTCCACCTATTTCACGTCAAACCTTTACCTCCTTACGTTAATTATTTACTGAGATAATAAGGTAGTTTAAAAAGTTGGAAAATTCCATTACAAATGTATGTACACCTAACTAACATAATAATTGGAACAAATTAATGTTCCCTTAATGTTTAATCATTAAAATTGTATTAATAATTTCTTCTTTATGTAAAACGATTTATAATAATTTCGAACAGCATATAATATGTAGCATTGAAAATATTATAAACATGTTTGTATCAATCCATTTTCATCCCACCGCGTAAAAGCTTATAATGGTTCGAAAAAGGAATATTAGAAGGAGTAAATGGGTTACAAGAAGATTCCATTACTTGGGTCGGGAACGTTAGTCGACCTTTGTTATGATAATGCAATGCTTCAGGCGGCCTTCTTAGGACTTGTATTGGGTTTAGAAATTGCTTCAACCTCTGAGATGTTGAGGCTCTTCAAACTGTAATGTTGTGAAGGATAATTGAGATTTAGTTTTGAAAGAAGACGTAGTATTTCAAGAATTATTGTTTCAGTTTCATTTAAACATTTGTAAGTCTGTTTTGTCATTACAATTTAGGTTTGTAATCACTCAAAAAGATTAATTAACAATTATTAATAATCCGTAAACGTAGGATACTTCCTTAATTGTCTATTGTATAACCTACTAGTATTTGTTTAGCTTAGTTTTTTGCTTGATACTTCGATAAATCAAAACCCCTTTTCATTTCATGGTACCACAAATCTAATAACTTCTACACAATTAAGCATCCCATTGTATGAGAATTATTGGTATAATTTGTGGTAACTCGTTTCAATATGTGTATAATTAACACCTTCAAACGAGTATTTATGCATTTTCATTTCAGAGATTGATAATGGAAACAATGAATTGACATTTATAATGATTAATTATATAATTTACAATATTATGTTATTCTCCGTTCACAAAATTTAGGCGGTTTGAGGGGAAACGATTCCATCTCCTCCGCCTCACCGTAGCTTTAAAACAAAAGCTGCCGGCTGATGAACTGATATATAGTTAAGTATTACAAGTTGTGGAGGGACCCAGGAAATCATCCCCTTAACCACAAAACTTTTTTAAACGGACTATAATCAAATATATACACAATTTAATGGCAAACGGAATCCAAAAAGATAGTTAATTTCTTTAAAGTCCCATTAAACCACGTCATCTGTATAACTCAACACACGTTACTTTATATTTGTCTACTTACATGTATATGTCTGCCGGGGTCATCTTCTACTAGTTGTCTTGCAATGTCTTTGCAGGACTTCCTAGAATTCTCAGGCACCTTGGAGTCATCTTCCCAGTAGCGGCTGGCCGAATGAGCGTAGAGCGCTGCTGGGGTGGCGTGACTTACCCGCGTGTTGGTGACTAAACCGGTGGCTTTACCTGGTGGAGAGAGTTCTTAAGTAAAGAGAGTTGTCTAATCATCAACCCTTAGCAATATGGGAGTGCCCTCGAACATGTACTTTAATTGGCGTTCAAAGTAAAGGTACTCTCATATTACTAGGGGTATAAGAGGCATATTTTAAATTAGTTTTTAAATAAGTGAACACCGATTAAGGTGGGCGTTAAAGCAATGCTTGCACTATTACAAGATAAAAGGTATTAGTATATACATTGTTTACTAAATTGCGAACTTTTTCCATTCATTTTGTACTAGAATACAATGAAACATTTTAAAGATATTATTGAGAGCCTTGAGAGGCAGTATAATTGCAAACTACACTAAAAAAAGTGTACCACAATCTGTTGTTTCGTAGAGAGGTATTTGATTAATATACATTTTCTTGCTTAAGTAGTCGGAAATATATGGCTAAATGTTAATTGGTTGTTCTAAACGTATAGTATCCAAATAAAACATAGCCTCAAATAAAGTAAACTACAAAAAGAAATGGGGCCCCACCTGACTTAAATTATTTGAAAACTAAATACAAAATTATGTAATGTCAACAATTATTATTTGTTTTTGTAGAGTATATGAAGTAATGATAACTCTAATTATTAAATTATTGCTGATTGTATAGCCACATCTATCCATAAACATAGATTTCCACAATCAACTACTAGGTGCTCCTAGTGTCTGTAACCAAATATATTCAATAGCAAACAAAGTCCAGCAAATAAACATGCTAATTAAATGGGTCGCACTAATTGGCAAACGCAATAAAGCTCATTGTATTGACTGCTCGTTTAATCACGATTGTTAAAGCTGATTTGATTCAAACAATTAACCTTCTATTTAGGTAATGACTGTATTATAAGCATTATTTGTTCACTTATACGACAAAATGATACATTTCAATTACTCTACAAAGGATTCAAACTTCTTTTACGTTAATATTGTCTTCATTACGTTTGGTTCCAATAATACTCATTTACGTTTAAACATTATAAACGTACTTTGAATCACAATTGGAATCAAATTATTTTTTATAAAATTTTACTATTTTTTCCTCAGGATTGGTATCACTTTAACGTGGAGGATTAACCGAACAAAATTTCTGATTATACCCAAACTAACAAAAACTGGTAGAAAGTTAAGTTTTGCAAATATAACATATTATAAACAAGAAATCATTCGGTGTCCACTAAGATATACACTGTACAATGAGTGGATCATTTTCGAATTTCGTCATAAAATAAACATCTTATAACACTTAAAGATTATAAAAATAGACATCACTCTGTCCCCGAAATAAAATCAATTTAAATTCCTTCCTGAAATGTGCTCATTTCGGTCAGGCCAACTATGCATAATTAGGTTTTTGTGCAGTAGAAAATAAACCATACGAAGTTGTTAAACAAAAATATATCTGGACTTTTTCGATAGAATATATACGTTTTGTAAATATCCTATTTGGGGAAATAGGTGTACTGTATTTCCTCAATGGTTAATTTAGTTACTAAATTAACCATTGAGGAAATACGCACCGGTATAGCTGATTTCAGCTGATTTTCAAGTCCCGTATTTAAAAATCACAACAACTCGAGTAGGCCAATTAAAAGCGATCAATTTCGTTAGAGTGTGACCAAAAGACACGAATGCAGTTAAATAACATAATAAGATCCAACACTTGTTCATTTACCTTCTTGTTGAGCCCAGTCCAAAAGGGAATCCACCCTTGAAATGAAGCTGGACGTGCAGTTTCCAAACTTGCCTCTCACATCCAACCCTACCGTTTCCAAGTTGGCCTTCACCCCGCAAAGTAGTGCTGTAGCACATGCCGAGGACTCCCCCACTTGAGCATCGAGGTTGTACGTCTGAGTTGAAACAAATTATCTCAATAGAAATATATTCCTCTATTGTCTCATGGTCTTAAAAGGGCAATTAACATTATAGGGAAGGATTAGGTCAATTCTAAATGCATCATTGCTTGATTACAATAAAAGATATTGCCCACCAAGATATCATAACTGTTGTATTTCGATAGAATTAAATGTTAGGTGCCATCATTTGTTACGATTTCTAACGGACTGCGTTGTTTTGTTTACGTCAGTCATATTAATTTGTGAGAGCTGGTTCCAAAAGTTAAAGTGTATAATACAATACATAGTATAATATTACTATACTATTACTACTATTACAATATCTATAACTTTTTATATTACTATATCACTAATTACTATATATACATCGCTATTACTACAGTATATATAGCAATATCAAAATTTGAACGAATTGTGTTTTTGGCCTCTAGGGACATCAAAATGAAAATGTAAATCGGTCCCTTGCTAAAGTCTTAAAATGAGACCTACGGTAATAGCTACTTACCTAAAGGGAAATTCGCTAAAAGTGTTTGTCTCAATTAAAACTTAATTAATAACCCCTTTTCAATATGTCATGTTAAAAATACTGAAAGGTGTTTTCCTAAAACTACCTATAGCCAATCCTATGATAAGTCTCAAATTATGTGTTGAACTTTGTGTAAATTGCAATCTCACACAGTACAAAAATTCAAATTTTAAATAAATTTAGTTTTATAACGTACACAGATACACAGTTTTAAAATATTGTTTCACCTTAGCAAGGGCTAATGCTGGAAAGTTGTCCCAGGCAAGATTCCCACTCTCCCCAGGTCTGCCGTGTCGCTGACCCTTGAATATTCTGGCGGCAGTTAGTGTAGGTAGCCCCAGGCCATCCCCCACCATCAATACTATGTTCTTGGCCACATCCTTGTACTGATGTGTCTCCAGCAGACGACGGTCCAGCGTGGCGCGGGCAGCGGAGAACCAGTAGTCCCTGTCTGGGTGCAAAATTAGATTTGGTTACTGTACTTGTTATCTATAGTGCGGTTAAGGTTATGTTTTAATGATGTTTATGTTTTGCATTATTACTTGATTCCCGTACGTAGGACGGACCAACATCTAGTTGTATTTAAATACATGCTAATAGAAAAGATTAACTAAAAGAACTGAACACCTGTCCGGGCGCCAAATTTGAAAATTAAACTTACTATCCAAGTATAATAAAAATCATGTTTCAGTAATCTATATTTATTTGTTACTTTATAAATTTGGTAATAATCCTGTATGTTATGTTAATTTAAGATTTTTGGAAAATATATAAGATGGTTAGGACCAGTGAGGAACTAGCCGAGGTGAACCAGCAGTCCCTGTCTGGGCGCCAAATTTAATAATATTACTTGCTTCCGAGGTAGCATGGTTATAATTCAGTTATTCAATATGAAGATTTTAAAAATAGATTTTTAGAAATTACAAAATGTTTGTGTTATTATTATGAGTTATGGATCAATCTATACATGTTCATGCAAGCATTTTTTGTGGTTTATTATATTATTATGTATATGTAATAATTATATTAATAATAATAATAATTATTATTATTGAAATAAGTCAATGGCCAGATTTTTTAAAACTATTTTCTGTATTTTTCTAAATATAGTTTAAACAATCATACAAATTTTATTTTTGAAAAATTTTTCTTATTTTCAGGTTTATAAATAATAAATAATAGCCAAATTTAAAAAATAAGTTTCTTGAAAAAAATTTTATAATCTCACTGCCATATCCCAATAACTTCTAATTTATTGTATTTAAATATGTCCGTTATTGTTCTTATTTCCATGTTTTTATTTTTCCTGTTTAACGTACAACATTAGACCTTGAGATATAAATTACAAAATCTGAAATGACTTAGCTCATTGTAATTAAACTAATTAAAGGAAATTTATTTTGTTAAAAGATACAAACAGACCGTAGCAACCATAAATCCAAAAACCATCGTGGAATTTATATTATTTCATGGATAAGCCCCACTCTCAATCCATTTAACCGCGGTAATGGTTTCTCACTAAGAGTAATGTGCACTAGCAATCTGAAACAGCTTATTGTGGAATTGGAAACTACTCCAGTTGTAACTGCACAAGATTATTCTGACACAAGTAGCTTACTGTGGATTTAGCAAAGCTTCCATGCTAACAATGTATGATTTGTTTTTTGAGTGTGTATACATGTAATCTCATTTGTTATTATTGTTAGTATGACGTATGGTTGCAACAAAAATTATATAAATTCATTTTAAGGTTGAATCCTAAATGAGTTATAGTTTTAATATTAATTTTTTATTTGTTTTAATATTCATAAAAGATTAAGTTTTCATGGTAATAATATTATTTAAAGAAAGGGCAGTTTAAAATATTTGTCACATCGTCTATTCTTTGTTATGAGCTACGATTAAATAGATAATAGAAATGATTTCGGCTTTATCCAATAAATATATGCTGTAACAAAAATAACAACTACGCTATTATAAATAAAATTAGTAATGATTTCATAAAGGTTTTTGAAAATTCAAGACTGCAAGTGATTTTTTTTATTTACTAGATTGTAATTCACATTTGTATATTTTTCCATTTATTAACTTCCTACTCACTTTGTCATGATACATTAAATAGCTGTGGGTACTTACTAACGTATTTACAAATCTTTCCTCAAGAACATTTACTACCTAATAAATTACTAGAGTACAATTTGTAGAAGTCAATTAGGCCTTAAACCACTAGTTTGAATATTCGGAATCAAACTTTGGTCACAATTAAAGTTAGGTCCCACAAATTCAAAATACAATTAATAATGAACCAGATCTTCTTAAACCAATAGAAATAAACTGTAGTTTGCTCACGAAAACTGAGAAAGGATTTCCAAAGTATTAAACATAAATGGAAAAGCAATATTCCTAGAAAACTATTGTATAATATATTGTATTTACTCACGTTTTAAATCCAATTTTGGATATGTTTCAATGCGTTTATAAATTGGTTTGAAAACATAATTGCAATATTCTATCATCCGATCCTTGTTACGAATCCTACATCAAAATAATAATATTATATATCATATTGTATCAAAGTACAAATAAAAGTTTCAATATCATAAGCTAGAACCAATAAGGAAAACCCATACCATAATCCTGTCCTGATACGCTGAACGTCACGAAAAGATACAACAACAGCTGCAAGTTTAACTGGCTTGTCATCTCTCCATGTTGGCGTTTTATAGTCTGAATTTACGACATTGTTCAATATACATCACTCTTTTGTGTGGACAATTCTTGAGTCCCCACAAAATCATTATTGTCGTCGCTAAGTCATCCTGTAAACAAAAAATATTTGTTTGTTATTTAGATAGAGATGCTGTAATTAAGGTATTTATTACGTACTAGTTGCTTTGCCTGTTCTTTGCTACGGGGTAAAAATGCAGAAAAGAATAATTTGGTTTTTTAAATCTACAATAAGGAATAGTTACAACACGCTTATCAGGAAACATTTATAGACAAAGCTCAATCGTACTTATTGATTATTTAAATGGAGATCTCTCTATGTATTACCAGCATTTTATATAGTGTATTGAATTTAAAAATATTAAACCATGTGTTGCTTGTTGTATAATTATTATGTGTATTCTTAATATTTTTCAAATCAAACATTTCGCCAGTCCATTTTTGGGATAGTATCAAACAGGAGTTTTAATATCCCTTGGTTATTAATAGATTATAACTACTAAAACATGAACTTACACATTACTTACACTACCAGGAACAACGATGAAATATAGGTTTGAAAAGTAGTACGTATTTTAGCTAGGGTAAATGCATATAAATGATTATGTAATAGCTTGGTGAACCTTTTTGTAAAAATGTACGTCAAAAGCATTTACAGAAAATCAAAAAGGTTGCAACAAAGTAATAAAAGTAACATCCGTACACAGTAAGCACTATGCCAGATTAACCACTAAATAAGGAAACAAATTTGGAGAATGCGGAGTCTTTAACTTTATCACTTAAGTAACTTGAATGGACTTAATCTATTCAAAAAGTTTACTTAAGTGGAAATGGAGTTTTCATCTTCAAGCGATGTTAATTTCTTATTCCCTCACACCTAATTTGCTACAACTCTAAATTTGTCTCCTGGTTATTTTAAATCAAGCATAAGTGATTGTACCAAGACAAGAGCATTAAAAGTTTATGTATTGAATAATAACAACACATTCTTTGTAGCTTAATTATGACAAAATTATGTATGTTTGTATCTTTTAGCGATATATATATATATATATATGTATATTCTCACTTATCTAACAGGACTCAATGTAATCCATTTTTTCTATATAATAATGATCCAACATGACTTTTCATTGTTATTATAAGAAGTTAATTGCTTCAGCTGAAATGCGTTTTTATGTTGTATCATACAAGGTTTAGTCTTATTGGGAATCCATTGTGAATAAGAATGGACATGGTGTTTTCGCAAGCTCAAAGAGTATGTATCGTAGAATAGTGAATAAAAAGTAAATAATTGGTTTTATTGCAAGAAAGGTTTGAAATTATGTTTCCATGTGTAATTCCAGGAAATAAATCTAGTATTTACATGCTTGTTAAACAGAATACCTCATTCTTAGAAAACAAAAAGAAAACATAGGCCTGCAAGGCATACGCATTTACCTTGCGAAAACACCATGTTACGTCTTATTACTAATAGATTCACTATTACACTCAACAATGTTTGGAACAATGCAAAGATGCATATTAGCTGGTCGGCAATAAAGTAAGTAAAGGATAGATACATGGATAACATAGTTTACGTCGCATTAACCGTCTTAGGTTAAATAACTAAAATAAAATTATAATTTCTGAATTAGAATACTCTGTAAGGGTTTAGTTTTCATTTATTAAAACGCCCTACTTCTTCAAAAAGGAGTCTACACATAAACTATAAGTGAATAGTTCAACCAACTAAGAAAACTAAGAAATCCGTATGAAACAATGTTTAAATAATAAAAGACAAAAATATAGTTTGACGGATTTTTTCATTAGAGCCTAGCTAAGCGACACAAAACTCATTAGTTTTACAGATCGTAAATACAGCCTCAGAAATGACAAAAACACAGCCAGGCTCGAAATCCAATCTTCGTTGAAGCAGGTAAAAAGTTGATTGGTCACACCTATGAGTTAAAGTTCTTATACTTTTTATTGGTGTTTAAACTCCCAGATTTATTGTACATAAAGTAGAGAAACCATTTTTTCCGTTATGTTACTTAACATTTAATACTCAATAACATGTCGTATGGCCTTAGTAAGTTGTTGTAAAATATATAAAAGATAACATTATGCTCACGTAAGAGCCCTTGGAGCGTAGACAGACATTCTAACTCATTAAACAATAAAAAAAATTCAAACCTCAGATGTTAAATAACTCTCTCAGCGGCTGTTTGAAATTAACGAAATTATCTTTGCTCTTATAGTGGGCAAATCCATTATGGCCGTTGGCTTCCATGGACTCCCTTAGAAAACAAGTCAAAACTATAAAGAAAACTAGCTGACCCGGCGAACTTCGTATCGCCTAAGTTATAGGTTTCCCCTAAGACAGACCGATGGAAAGAAAGTACCGTTACGTTTAATTTTCAAGATGATCTCGTTCGCATCGCCCAATCACGTCCTGGTTGAAGTTCGTTCGCTACGCTCACTCACCTTTGGGTTGGAACTCGTTCGCTACGCTCACTCACCTTTAGGTTGGAGCTCGTTCGCTGCGCTCACTTGCCTTCAGGTTAGCTCGTTCGCTACGCTCACTCGCCTCCAGGTTGAAGTTCGTTCGCTACGCTCACTCACCTTTTGGTTGCAAATTAGCTGTTGTCATAAATGTAAAAGAAATGATAGTACTGCACCCTGTTGGTAATCATTGTAACTTTAATGCTATTGAACATCATAGAACAGAACCAACTTGTTTAATTGAAACAGCTGTTAAGATTCATTAATTCCATTTCTCATAAGGTTAACATGGGAAACTCCAGAGCCACTGGGGCGGAGCCCTTTTAAGAATTTCGAAACGGGAAATAGTTTACGTCCGATTCGCATACCTACAGAATTTACACACCAAATTTCATAACGATCGGTGAAGTCGTTCCGGAGGAGTTTGCAGACAAACACTGTGACACGAGAATTTTATAAAGAAAATTTATAATCTCACAGTGGCCCAGATATTTAAATTATAATAACGTTGGTGTTTGAAAATATATTTTTGGATGATAACTAACTCTTCAGTAGCTGTTTGAAATTATTATCCAAGATGGCCACTAGCCTCAAAGGACTCTTAAAGGTGAGCTTTTTCTCACATTTTCCTCAATAGAGTCATGTACTAGTTGGTATATAAATTAAAAATCTCACTCACATTCCAGAAATATTTGTTAAAACCCTCCTCAGGTTTAATGTAAAAAAACTTAGAGATAAATTAAATTTGATCCTTGTTAAGAAGTTTTCTCCACAGCACTAGACGTTGTTAAGGATGTCTTGTGGTCTAAGTGAAAGACTGGAATTTCTAATACTTGTTTTTATTCACTCTCCTCTTTATCCTTCAACACCAGTTTTTATATGAGTAAATATACAATCATGATCTTCGTTCCGTAGTCCTTCTAATACGTCCTTGGTTTGGCGTTGGATTTTACGAATAAATAGAAAATAGTGTAATTTTTCGGTGAATATAAAAATATTATTAGTTTTTCGGTTGTGTAATTTTGTGATGAATGAAGATTTTTCTTATGTTACTCTGTAGTTACTAATAACGGGATGCCTCCATTTGAGGAGAAAATGTATTTCATGGTTGTAAGTTGGTAATCTTTACTGACATATCAGTTACAACCGAGTTTCTTTCCGCTCTGCAATATTGCCAACTGTTTCCAATCCTCTCGATTTCCCACGAGGCTGTATCATGCAGGGTAAACAATTGTTGAATTGTGTGTGTATAAGTCAATATATATATATATACTGCTTCATGAGTAGATCTGGCTATTGTACAGTGCTTCCTGTCATTGTAGGATGTACATATTTGCAAGTAATATAAAAGAGAAAATATCAAAATGATTATTCTAAAATAAAAATAGAATATTATTTAGGCTAAGGAATTCCAGTTTTTCAACAACAGCATATTTTTCCTTATGTTTTGATCATTGAAACAATGGCATTTCTATTGGTATTACGATAGAGTTTACACATTTTTGAAAGTTTGACATTGAAAGATATTATTTAACTTGTTTTCCATATTTAAATTATGTATTTATAAAAATAATTTGTGCAAGATCTTTACAGCTTTGCTTAAATATCCACAGCTGAATGAACTATGTGTTTGACGCTTGAAGAACCGTCCAAAATGTGTTGAAACGAAAATGTAAATGATATGTACGATAGCAGGATTTAAAACAAACAATAAATCTTTGGAAATTTCTATTAGTAAGTGAACTATTTACATTCAATAACAAGCCAATATGAAAACTATTATTTAAGACTTAAAGGCTTGTTTCTAACATAAAAACTGTAACAACAATTTCGCTCAACATCAATTGTGGCTTACATAAAAGCTTCGTGGGGATGCAAAAGCTCAGAAAGGCAAAAAGTGACGTCAGTAATTTTCGTAATGACAACCCTGAAGAGAACGAATTGTCACTGCCTAAATGAACATTTCTCTTTCTTGACAAGAGACCATTTAATTAGCTCTAAGATACCTCTTTCAGTTGCAATTTGATTCTAAAAGGTATTGAAATGTGTGTCGTTTGATCTGGATTATTAATTTGTCATTATTCTCATCGTATGCTTCGGTTGCCAATGGGAAAAATGAAAGATTTATACTAACAAACAAACTTTAATCACTTTCATAACAATGTAATTAGGTCTTAAAAAAATTTACCGATTATTGTCGTGCATTTAGATGCTGGGTTATCACCAGACTTAGTGTAACTATAATATTACTATTAATGTAACTATAACTATTGTTATCATTTAGGAAACTGCTCACTCGTTTATGGACCTGACTAGTAAAGCACTTAAATATGTTTAATTTCTACATATCAACACATAAATAATATTTGTTGAACAGAAACATAAACAATATCATTAAAAAATAAAACAACAAATAAAACTAACGTCGTATTTTCTAAATTTTATACAACGTACATTATAAAATTTTAAATAATGATGATTGACAATTTATTTGATAAGAGAAAATTCAAATGTGTATAAATATAAGAGGGTGTTGTTGTTTATATATATTAATTGTTAATTGAATGGCAGAATAAGTAAACCAGTGCAAATCAAATGCATCCAAGAA